GCATAGAGAATCAATTTTTCATCACCGGTGATAATTCTGTCCAATAATGGTTCATGCGCATTACACACCAGAAAAACGAAGCAGCGGTCACACGTTGGAAACGATAATCATTGGAGAGTTCGTGAGGCACCCAAACACCTTCTTTATGGAGTTTCCCCATATTCCTCCATTCAACTGTCAAAGGGATTTTATTGATTTTTAGCTTTAATCGTTGCAACATTCTTTATTGCGTTTTAATATTTCGCAGATCTAACTGTAATAAATTTAATAGGATAAACTACAAGGAAACTTATATAAATATTTTAAGTATATTAAAATACTCGCCCCCCAGTGGCGCAGCGGTATGTCTGCGGACTTATAACGCTAGAAACCGGGTTTCGATACCCGTGGTGGGGAGAGTACTGACAGCCCATTATGTAGCTTTGTGCTTAACTTCAAACAAACAGTCAAACAATTAAAATACTTAACGATCAACGTTGTATAGTTTACAACTAAAATTTTATTTATAAACCGATCAACGGTCGTAAGAAGTCGCGCTACATGTTTGAACGTCGTTCACGTCATACTCATGAGTGTGAAAAACAAATGCTATGCAACACATAAATATACAGAAACCATGGTCATGTAATTACTAGTTTCCACACAAATAGACGGTGCGACCTTTTTTAAATATATAAATAAGTAGTCACATGACCTTGGCTTTTTGTGTGTTTATATTTTACACAACATTTGTTTTTCACACTCCTGAGGATAACGTGAACGACGTTCAAACATGTAACATGACTTCTTACGACCGTTGATCGGTTTTTAAATAAAGTTTTAGTTGTATACTACACAACATTTATTGTTGAGTATCTTAATATATTTTGAAACGTATTTCTTCTTCCTTTGGAGGAAACAGACTCATTTTGACCTCAAAAATACGTATGTTATTATCATATAAACAGTGAATCGTTTCATTGTGTAGGATGTGATCCTGGCTCTACAAACTAGTTAACTCACTAGTAAGACACGTTTTTAATAATTCAACCTATCATACCAGTTAAAGGTATTTTAGTTTATGTTTTTAACTTTTCTTCATACTTTCTAATACGGTACTGATGTAAAACTACTAACAAATGGCGAGATATTGCCTCACGCAGCTTTAAAAACTGGACGAATACCTCTGAAACGTCGTTAATATATAGCTATTCACGCAGCTTTAAGAACTGGACGAATACATCTGAAACATCTTTAATATATAGCTATTCACGCAGCTTTAAGAACTGGATGAATACATGTGAAACGTCGTTAATATATAGCTATTCACGCAGCTTTAAGAACTGGGCGAATACACGTGAAACGTCGTTAATATATAGCTATTCACGCAGCTTTAAGAACTGGACGAATACATGTGAAACGTCGTTAATATATAGCTATTCACGCAGCTTTAAGAACTGGACGAATACATGTGAAACGTCGTTAATATATAGCTATTCACAAGACTTTATTATACCCAATTCTAAGAACTGGATACCCTTTGTTATTGTTGTCTTTCTGTCGTACAAGTTCATACATTTACACGCTCAGAAACACAGTGTTTTTTGTTTTTGTTGAATGTGAACCATGTTTTCTTTACAGTGCTTTCCTCACTGTGGTTTCATATCATGCCTGATGCAGTTTTTCTTCATTTCACCGGTGATCTTCTTGGTTTTATATAGGTAAACCAATTTTCTTTTAGATTTCACTTGTTTTAACATTATATGTAAGTTGTAATATCCTATAAACTGTGGTAAAATCTAATAGGTAATGAACATACATTTCCGTTTCATCGTATCATATGAGTAATTTACTGATCAACTGATAATACTTTTTTTCTAGCTAATATTGAAAGAATGTTCACCGAGTGATCTTCCTGGCAGTCACGGCTCTACTTTTTGTTAACTTCTTGTGGAGAAAGGACATATAATGGGGCCAAATCTAAATTAAGTTAATGAGCGGCATTAGCTTTGGGGGGGGGGGACGACAATTCAGGGTGCCCTGTCCTCCTCTGGTTCTGCTTCCCAGCATTTTACAGTTTAACTATTTCCGTTTTCATTAACACATATACAGGACACACTGTATAACCATCGTTATAGCTTTGAAAAGTATTATATTAACGAGAATATTTTCAGAGAAACTATGTGCCACACACTTATTGCGCAACACGTATTTATCAATCAATGTAATGAATCGTAACAGGGCAATAAGAATCTTAAGGCAAAACAGAGTAATTCCCGAGCTAAAATGTTTTTGTTTGGTTCTTTTTTGAATACCCCATGTATGTGTGTAGGATTATACTCCAGCGGAAAAACATAAGCATTACTGTATTGTAAATACTGGGTGTACTTATTTCCCGTTTGGTTTTTCACCAACTTCTAAAGGAAACCAGTGATTGGAAAAAGTTTCATTCTGACTGGGATACTTGTATCTGCCATGGTCCTTGCTATTATAACACCGTTATTGAACCAAATGCCCGTTTTGCTGGCTTCTGTAGCAGATCACAGGTAAATGTTTAGTTGTTTCTTGCTATAGTGTTTATCACACACGTTAATGTTTATTTTGCAGTGATTTTTATGCACTTTACAATTACATATTTCTTTAACACCTTAATTTTAATTATATTTCTATGTTAACAAGTCATTATACAACTTTTAATCTTTAGTTATGTCTCAATATCTAGTGTTCAGATGGAGTTTTTACACCTGGTCATCACGATGCCATACACGCATCTGGGAACATATTGTGTTGGCATGGCAACAGGCTATCTTATCTATACTTACAATGAAAAGAAACTTCGGATGCACCCAGTGAGTTTGCGCACTTTACTTTGATATACGTTGTTGATAAAACTAAAGTAAGTTCAAAGTAGTAAAATTTTTGATTAAAATTAATTTATCTGTTACAATGTTTAGGAAAAATATAGATAAATCATAAAGTTACGATGATTTTTAACTAGTCCTAGCAAAGGTCAGCTAAAGAAGAAAATACTCGTATCGTGTACATCGAACTCATAACTGCATTTCAAAGCTCTTTTATTTCTCAGTTTTTATCTTTGATCTAGCTAAATTAATGAGAGCTAATATAAACTTAATCTCCATGTTTCAAATGATTGGTTGCGAGTTTAATGTATTTGATATTACAGTGTTATTAACTATTTTTCGTGTTCATCATGGTTGATTAGTGGGTATTATTTTTCAAGTGCCGTTTTACTAGTTAGTGTTATCATGAACCACGATAGTGTTTCATAATAGAGATCGCTAGGAATTGCACAAAACCCTAATAGAACGTTTAAGCAAAAAGCACTTTAAACAGTAAAGATTCAGTTCAAACAACGCTTTAAAACCTTTACTATTGACTGCTAAGGTTGTGCATATATAAAAAATACACAAAAAGTACGCACGTTTGACTTTCAAAGAAAAGAAAATCTTGTTATTATTATTTTTCTCTTGCTAGTCTACAACAAAAACGGCTTGGTATATTACACCCAAATATTTTGTAGAACACTAAATATGGTACTGCAAAGATCGTAGAGGTATTGAAAAGTGTGGGTTCTTCTTATAGCAAAGCCACATCGAGCTATCTGCTGTGTCCACGCAGGGGAATATAACCCCTGATTTTAATGGTATAAATCCGTAGACTTACCGCTGTC